ACTATAAGATTTCTCGGTTCGCGCGTCGCCTCTGGGGGGGCGACGAACACATAGTATAAGTATGTTTGGGGGACGCCGATTTGGGTTTCCTGGGGGCCTCTTGTGGGCTGGGGCCTCTTCGGGGCCTCGTGGGAACCTCTTGGGACCTCTTGGGGCCTGTCGGGAGTGTCTGGGGGCCCTTCTGGGCCGGTTCGGGGCCCTCTTGGAAGTCTGTCGGGCTGTCTTAGGGCGATCTTTGGGGCCTCGTGGGCCGTCTTGGAGCGTCGGGAAGCCGAAAAGAGGAGAACCCCCTAAACTCCCCCCAAACAGGCAGAAAATCCATGAACGTTACCTCTTGGGGCTTTCTTGGGAGTACTCTTGGAAATCTTTTGGGACGTTTTGGGACGATCTTTGGGGGTATGACGGCTTCTTTGGGGTCGTCGTGAACCGTGTTGGGGCTGTCTGGGGTCGTTTCGGGAACGCGCCGGAACGCCTGAATCCCTCTGGGGTCGTCTTCGGGCTCTCATGGGGTTTTCCTGGGTCGTATGGAGGGTTGCTCGAGAAGCCCGGGGTGGGCCAAATTCGTTTGGTGTGGTGTGGGGTCCGGGGTCCCCGGCCCTAAGACATACATACATATAGACATACATACATACATACAGACAGACATACATACATTCATACATACATACATACATACACACATACACAATTTTGTGTGTATGCAGATACGTGTGTACATTGTATGTGTAAAAACATACTCTCTGATATGCGTTGCGCACTCAATGGTACCTGGTATCCACGAGCATTTGCGCACCGCTTACTCGGCAACGTTGAAACAACAGGTGGTCGTAAACCAACCCGACGTGCCAACATAACCTCCGATCGCGCGCGTCGAGCATGCGCGAATGTATAGCTGTATATACGCGCATGTATAGTAGCATGTGCCGATTACAAAGAAGTGCACACACTATAAAACACAAACACACCGCACACGCCGCATCCACACACGGCGCACACAACTTGACCACTCAGGGATCATGTACCTGACTGCGTGGCCAAACAAGCACAACCAAATGACGAACGGTCTCGTGCTCTGCAATCCCATGCAGGCGAGACGTAAAGAGGTCTCGCGCGATCAACGGCGTAGCAGGCACATACGATGATACATGGATTTTTGAGAGAGAGAGAGAGAGAGAGAGAGAGAGAGAGAGAGAGAGAGAGAGAGAGAGAGAGAGAGAGAGAGAGAACAACAAAAACAAACAAACACACAAAACTAAGCATACAAAGCAGCGAGGGCAATTTCGCGTACAAGCCACCAGCAAGTGACAAGTACAGATGCTGCACTCGAGGGCTGACAGGTCACACGCGCCTCGCTGTCACGCCGTAGAGCGTGATCCCACAATGGGTAGTGCGCAGTCCACCCGATAAGAACTGATAGTGGGGCTCCAACCTTCGAAAGCAAACCGCCCCCTCGTTCTGGCGAATCCTGGCCAGGTGCAAATCAAAAGCATCAGCATCTGATTACAGTAAGGAAAACGATGGGAGAGTTTGGATCGACTCCCTTAGCCCCTCGGCGACTTGTCGATTGAACGGCGAAATCATGTACATGCTAAGCCGCTCCATGCACTCACTGTGATATTCGTCCTGCGGGCGTAGAACAAAGGGCGTGCGCAAACTATCCCAAATGGCTTCAGGACCTAAGAGCAAGTCGGTCTCGTCGCTATCCCAGTCGCTTGTGTCCGAGGTCCGCTTCCCGACGGGCAGGGTCCCCATACCAAGCGCAAGGTCATGACGTCCGCGCCCCGAAGTCCTCGCAGGCGTCCATGAGCGCCACGCCGAAAGCCGTTAACCGAAACACATCCAAATGTGCGTGCGAAACTCTGAGGATCTCGTCAACATAGGCGATGGGCAGCCAGCAGTGCAATCGGGACCTCAGCCTGCTCCGAAATGGGACGTATACCTCCGACATCGTGCCATATGACCGCGGCGATAGACAGCACTCACCCAAATCCACAGAAGAAATGCAACCTGCTTCAAACAGCGTCAACGGTGCAGTGCTCGGGGCCACAGGGGCCACGCAATCAGCGCCAACCACGGGTAGAACAGCGAGACGATGAAGCAGAAGTGCCTCACGAGGTACCTGATGAGGGCGGATGATGAGGGCGGAGAAGCAAAAAGAGATGTGCACTCGCTTGCATCCGCTCCGCACGCCCTGCAGCCAGCTGCCCGCGGCGCCAGCGGCGGCGCGCACTCGGGCCACGTGCCCGCGAGCGTCGAAGGGCCGCACATGCCATAGACGGGCGGCCCGCGCACGGGGGCCAGGCAAATGGCCGCCGTCATCGAGGGGGCGCTGCGGCGAGTGATCTCATCGCGGCTCGGCGAGATCACCCCCAGGCCGTAGGGACTCCTCCAGCTTGAAGAAGGGTGAGCTCCAGCTTGAGCCAGGGTGAGCTCCAGCTTGAGCCAGAAGGGTGAAACCGTAGGGCCTCCTCCTCGGCGAGATCACCTCCAGCTTGAGGCAGGGTGGCCGTAGAAGATGAGAAATCCTGCTATGAGGCATCTAGGGGCACATCCTTCGCCGACGCCGAGCTTCGCAAGGTGCCCCGGGGCTCCGCGGGCCCACCGGGAGAATGTAGACAAGAGATTTCCGTAGGCACCCGTGGGCATGGGACGCACAGAGACATACTAATACTAGATGTTCTCCTCGGAGGCGCGCGTCCGACCCGAACGTGTAGTATACCCATATTGTAGTTCATCGTTTCCCGAGCGGTGTAGCCAGAAAGCGCCCGCCACGAGGCATATACCAGAAGATTTCTCGGTGCGCGTGTCGCCCCTGGGGGGGCGACGCGCATATAGTATAAGTATGTTGGGATGACGCCGATGGGCAGGCCGATTTCTCAATTCGTATGCTTTCTGTATCACGTACCGCCATCAGCTGAAGCCGAACTACACAACCTCTGGGGACGTGGCAAGATCGAGTTCCCTCGGGTTCAGCTCTGCTGACCTCCCGTGCCGAATCCCCCGAGCTCTGCCACAAGGCCCTGGAACGTCTCGGCGCGCCTCCCCCCCCCCCCGCGACGTCCCCGACGCCCTGAGCGGTCATCCGACGAGCGGGCGCGCACCACCAAGGCCCCAGAGGCCCCCCGCGCACTCCCAGCAAGAGCACACGAGCACCCAAATCTCCGGTGATGCGGCCGCGTCCATGTTGCAGCGTCGGCAACTTGCGGCAGTCACGCACCCGCGTTGGCGGGCACGTCGCGCGGCCCCTCTCGGGAGCCCTCGGGGGGGGGCCCTGGCGAGCCCAACGGGGCTGGTGCGACCCCGCGCTGGCCCTGCGACCCGGCGGGGCGGTGCGACCCCGTGTGTTGGCCATGACCGCCATGACCACCACCGATCTCCGACGATCTGACTTCTTCCATCCGGGCTTCCTTCCTCGACCTCGGCCCTCGAGGCCGCTTCAGGGCCCCCAGGGCCACCAAAAACGGATCCGGGGCGCAGAACTACTCCCAAGGAAAGGGTCGGGCGCTCTGGGGCCGCGCGGAGCACCAGGCATCCGACGATGTGATTTGCCCAGCCTGGGGTAAGGCTGACTCCCGGATCCGCTTTCGGCGGTCCTGGATGTCACCCGCGACGCCCGCAGGCCGAAATCGAGGAAAAACGCCGAGGCTGAAGAAAAGCAGAGTCGGACGTCTGGGCTTCCGCACGCTATCAGCAAGAGCACACAACCACGGGTACTCAAAATGGCCCCAACGTCAGGCGACGCAGTCTCGCGTCGTGTCAGAAGGAGAAGAAGGAGGGGGAGCAGGAGGAGGCACATGGTGAGGGGAAGGAAGAGGAGGAAGAGATGGTTGATGTTGATGTCGATGCTGATGTTGATGTTGATGCTGATGTTGATGGTGTTGTTGGTGATGGGAATGATGATGCTGATGATGAAGGTGCTAATGATGATGGTGGTGGTGATCATGCTGATGAAGATGGTGGTGATGCTGTTGTTGATGATGGTGATGGTGATGATGGTGATGGTGATGATGATGAGTATTATGGCGATGATGGTGTTCATGACGATGAACATGACGATACTAATGATGATGATGCTGATGATGATGATGATAACGACGATCATGATGATGACGATGACGATGGCGATGGCGATGATGATGATGCTGATGAGAATTATGACGCTCCTGATGCTGAGGATGATGGCGGTGATGCTGTAGATGATGCTGGTGGTGAAAACGATGATGATGATAATGCTGATGACGAGGGTGATTATGATGATGATGATGCTGATGATGATGCTGCTGATGGTGATGACGATGATGATACGGATGCTGATGATGATGATGATGATGACGATACTGGCGATGATAATGATGATGATGATGATGATGATGATGATGATGATGATGATGATGATGACGAAGATGAGGATGACGCTGGCGATGATGATGATGATGATGATGATGATGATGATGATGATGATGATGATGATGAAGCTACTGCTGATGACGATGATGGTGATGATGATAATGATGATGATCACGATGGTGCTGATGATGAGGATACTGATGATGATGGTGATGATGGCGATGCTGATGCTGATGATGCTGTTGCTGGTGATGATGATGATGCTGATGATGCTGCTGATGCTGATGGTGATGATGGTGACGATGGTGGTGATGATGATGTTGTTGATGATGATGCTGGTGATACTAATGATGATGGAGAATAATATGTTGTTGATGATGATGCTGATGATGATTAGGAGGAGAAGGAGAAGGAGTAAGAGGAATAAGAGGAGTAGGAGCAGAAGGAGGCGGGGGAGGGGGGGGGGCGAGAAGGAGGGGACGGGGAGGAGGACGAGGAGGAGAAGAAGGTAGCGCGGAAGAGGAGGAGGAGGAGGAGGAGGAGGAGGAAGATATGGGGGGAAGAAGAAGAGGCGGGGGAGGCGGCGGAGGATGAGGAGCCCAAACTCCTTCGTGCGCCCCCCCCCCTGGTAAGACAATAAGGCGTGCGGCCGCCTGCTCCCGCTGCTGCACGGCCTCCAGTCTCTCCAGGAGCTTGGCCTCGAACTCCTGGAGCTTGGCGAGGCTATCCTGCAGCGCCTGCTCCTTCTCGGCCGCGGCTTGCTCAAACTCGGCGGCCTGCGTCGCGGACCGCGGGGAGGAGAACACACACAACCACCGTGCGGTCATAGGGGGACGCAAGACACACGGAACGAAGGGGCTTCTCTGGCCACCGCGAGCCTCGGCCACGAATCCGACCGGCGACCGAGGTCTGAGGAACGCTCCGAACGCCCCGGGCCCCTCTTGAGCCAAAAGTGGCCCTGACTCCAGCGCCTTGACTGCTAGGACCTGCGTGGGCGATGCCGAACAAACACCACTGGGACCCATCGAGGGTCTCAGCTCGGGCCTGCCTGCATCGCACTGGGAGCGGCCCTCGAACACCATGGCACGCACGCGGCGTGGTATTGCACGCATGCCGGATGTGGCGCCCGAATATGTGGAGGAGAAGATGCAGGAGACGCGTGGCGGAGAGGCGGATGGTCTGACTGCGGGCGGGATGTCGCAGAGAAGACTGGCAGCCCCCAACGTATGACGCGGGAGACAAGACAAGAGACGTTCCCATGCCGACGCTCCTAGACTCCCCTCCCTCGCACGCTTCGGCAAAATAACAAAATAGGTTGCCTGGTACACCCTTGCTTCATATGGCGAAGCCCGCGGGCCTCTTTCAATGCCCAGGGTTCCGCAATGAATCCAGTGTACAAGACCCCGATCGCAAACCTTATCATAGCTTACAGATCTGAAGCCTGTACATGTATGCTGCAATTCTGTTTCGCACTCCTCCGTCCGAAGACTGAAGTCATTGCTCGTGTAGGGTGGACCCTTCCTGGTCTCGCAGGGGTGCGACCGACATCGCCGATGCGAGCAGAATATATGATGATTATGTTTGCGACGTCGAAGTGAACTGCCATGAAGCGACACATTATCCGAGCTGTGTTTGCATCTAGGTTCCCCACTCGCGCTGTAAGATGCTGTCCTGGATGCCGCCCTACTTCCAGTAGCTGCTTGGGACCGATGGCTTGACTTCCTACGGCGTTTTGCCCCATTTGCGCTGGTTGCCACACTCTGTTCAGAGGTTGCTTGCACTTCTATCGGCTGGGACTCCATCTTGCCCCACTGGCGCTGGTTGCCGCACTTTGTTCAGTGCCTGGCTGCTTGCACCCCTATCGGCTGAGACCCCTCTGGCTTCTCTCGCCCCACTAGCGCTGGTTGCCGCATATAGTTCGGGGGACACTGCGGCTCAGATCCCGATGGCTTGGCTTCCCATGGCTTCGCGCCATAGCCGCGGCCTCCCCCTGCTTCCCGCCCCGCTGGCCCGGATTGTCCCGCACTGATCTCATTTTGTCCGTCCTCCTGCCCAAGCGTGGCACCGTCTGTGGCCAGGGCGAGAATGATGTCATGACAGGACTGGCGCAGGACGCGTTCCAGGACTTCCAAGAGTGACGAACGATCAACACACACCCATACCCATAGGGGAGACGGAATGAGCTATGGGTGCGTGTTGTCGGATAGGGGTCCCCGCTCGAACGGGAGCCTCCTCAGGGTCCGATAACCCGCACCCATACCCATAGCCAGTCCTTCTCCCTCCGACCTCCCTATGGGTATGTGTGTGTGTGTGTGTGTGTCTGTGTCTGTGTCTGTGTCTGTGTCTGTGTCTGTGTCTGTGTCTGTGTCTGTGTCTGTGTCTGTGTCTGTGTCTGTGTCTGTGTCTGTGTTGTCCGTTCGTCAAAGAATACTTCCAACGGCCCTTGTTCCTGGAGCCCGTGCAGACAAGCTCCAAGGCTCCGGGCTGCGCACGGGCAGCCCCACGGGGGCAGCCCCAGCTGGCCTCCGCAGGCCCGTGGAATGCTCCCCGCGGGCCTCCACGGGCCCCCCGGAGCACCCCGGGGCGGCCTCGGCGCCGCAACCCCCGGGGGCGCCGCTGGAGGCGGCGCCAGGGAGCTGAGACCGCCACGGGCTCTTCGGGGGGCCCGCTGAGGCCAGCGGGGGACGACTCGGGGGGCCCTGGCACGCGGGGGGCCCGCCGAGGCCAGCCGGCACTGCCCGGGGGGGAGCTGCCAAGCAGACCCCCCTCCCCAGGTGGCCCCGGCCGTCGGTGCGCGACCCGAGGCCTCACCGGGAGCGTTTTGGGGAGCCGAGGAGATCTTGGAGATCGAGGCGGCGGCGCGGGGCCTGATCGTGCACCTGCTTGACTGCGGCCTGCACCTGCCGGCACGCGCGGGGGGGGGGGAGAGGGGGGCAACTGGCCATCGCTCGGACGTCCATTCCCTGCGGTTTTTCGTTCGGCTTCGTGCATGTTTTTTTCGCAGGAGGATCCAGGATGCTCCTTACCCAAACATCCGACGTCTCGATTTTTTCGAGACGCGGGCCCCCGACCTCCCGACCACTTCCCTGGGACCGGCTTTTCATCCCGAGCCGTTTTTTGACGGTCCCGAGGCCCGGCGAGGGCCCCGAGAGGCCAAAAACTACGAAAAACTTATTCTGTCGAATTTTTTCCAGACGCCCGATGTCTGGGTAATAACCCCCGCCGAGAAAAGGTGCACACGTCCGAGCGATACCAGGGCGAGGGAGGACGGCCGCGAGCGGAGAGCCCAGGAGGGCGCGGGGGCAAAGCCCAGGAGGGCGCCACCGATCTCTGGGCCGGGCCGGCCCTGGGCCCAGGAGCGGTGCACTGGCCTCCCTGTCCAAGCCAGGACCCGGAGATCCAACGTATTGACAAAAATCGAGACGGAGGTTTTTCTCAAATTTCGGCCCCTATAGGGGCCCTCCCTCGCCGGGCCTCGGGGCCGTCAAAAAAACGACTCAGAATGAAAAACCGGTCTTGGGGAATGGGTCGAGACTTCCGGGGACCCCGTATTGAAAAAATCACGACATCGGATCTCTGGGGAGGCCGTGCGTCGTATAGGCGAGCAACAGGGTTGCGTCGACGGAACCTTTCGACTGTGCGCTCGGAGTTCTTGCATCTGCGCCGGAGGGTGGCGCCGGAGGCGCCGGCAGGAGGGCCCAGCGCGGATCCAAGAAATCCGCGAGTACTGCCGCAAGCTCACGATGCTGTTATGTCCCAAATCTTTTGCTGAACGGGGTGCTGTTGTGGTAGGAACGAACTCCAGTCAAGGGATGGGCCAGCAGAGACATCCTCTAGAAATGTTGGTGGTCCAGGCCAGCTCGCCTGAGACATGCTCACAACTTTCGTTTCTGAGTTGGCCGGAATTGGGCATTTCGCCTGAGACATCTTCGGTATACTGAGCTCCGCGACGTCGCGCGCGAGGTGGTCCCGAGCGTTTGGCCTGAGACATCTTCGCAACTCTGGGCTCCGAGCTGCCGCGCGAGAGGTGTTCTGGCGCGTTTCGCCGGACACATCCTCGCAACTCTGGGCTCCGAGCTGCCGCGCGCGAGGTCCAGCCTGTTTCGCTTGAGACGTCGGGCCAGCCCTGAACTCCGAGATGCCTCGCGCGAGAGGTGGACAGGCCCGTTTCGCTTGAGGCGTCCTCACATCTCTGGGCTACGAGATACCGCGCGCGAGTGGTCTGGCGCGTTTCGCCTGAGACATCTTCGCAACTCTGGGCTCCGAGCTGTCGCGCCAGAGGTGGTCTGGCTTGTCTTGCCTGAAACATCCTTGCAAGTCTGAGCTCCGAGATGCCGCGCGAGAGGTGGTCCAGCCCATTTCGTCTGAAGCATCCACGCAACTCTGGGCTCCGAGATGCCGCGCGCGAGGTGGTCTGGCCCGTCTCGCCTGAGACATCCTCGCAACTCTGAGCTCCGAGATGCCGCGCGCGAGGTGGCTCGGTTCGTTTCACTTGAAACATTCTCGCAACTCTGAGCTCCAACATGGAGGAGGGAGGAAGGAGGAGAGAGGAGGGGTCGGACCCAGACGAACCATTTGATGGCACTTCTGTTGTCGAGGTGTGCTGCGGTCGCAACTCTGAGTTCCGAGATGCCGCGCGCGAAGTGGTCCAGCCCATTTGCTCATCCCTCCTCCCGCTTCCCTCCCCCTGCCTCCCATCTGCCTCCTCCTTCTCCTTCCTCTCGCCTCCCGCCTGCTGCGCCTCTGCCTCCGCCACCACGTCGCCCTTTCCGCCATATCTGCTGCCTCAGCATCCGCCATGCGCGCCCCGCCTTCCGCCTTCCCTAGACATCCGACGTCACGAATTTTCTTTCGAGATGCAAGCCCGCGGACCTCTCGATTATATTTTTTTCCCCCGAACAACTTGCTAAACGTGTTGTGGTCGTAACTAGATATTGCCGAAGGACGCGCGCGAAGAAACTTCCTCAAGAACTTTGGTGGTCCAGGCTGTTTCGCTTGAGACATCCTCAGAGCTCTCGGTTGAATTGGCCAGGAATGGGCGTTTCGCCTGAGACATCCTTGCATGTCCAAGCTCCGAGATGCCGCGCGCGAGGTGGTCAGCCGCGCTTCGCCTCAGACATCCTCGCAACTCTGAATTCGGAGATGCCGCGCAAGGTGGCCCGGCCGGTTTCGCATGAGAAGTCCTGCCGACTCTGAGCTGCGAGATGCCGCGCGCGAGGTGGTCCAGCCCGTCTCGTTCTTCTGGGGGACAAGGAGGGGCATGAGGGAGGGGACGACCGCAACCTCGAGGGATGTCCAGCCCATTTCGTCTGAGACATCCTCGCAACTCTGGGCTCAGAGCTGCCGCGCGCAAGGTGGTCCAGCGCGTTTCGCATGAGACGTCCTCGCAACTCTGAGCTCCGAGATGCCGCGCACGAGGGGGTCAAATCCGTTTCGCCTGAGACATCCTAACACATGTTAGTTCCGAGATGCCGCGCGAGAGATGGTCTGGCGCGTTTCGCATGAGACATCCTTGCAATTCTGAGCTCCGAGATGCCGCGCGCGAGGTGGTTCCGCCCGTGTCTCTTGAGACATCCTCGCAACTCTGGGCCCCCAGGAGGTGCCGCGCGAGAGGTGATCCGACCTGTTTCGCTTGACATGTCCTGCCGACTCTGGGCTCCAAGATACCGCGCGAGAGGTGGTCTGGCACATGTCGCCTAAGACACCTTCGCAACCCTGGTCTCCGAGATGCCACTCGTGAAGTGGTCTGGAGCGTTTCGCCTAAGACATCCGCGCAACTCTGAGTTCCAAGATGCCGCGCGAGAGGTGGTCTGGCCCGCTTCGCTTGCGACATCCTCGCAACTCTGGGCTCCGAGATGCCACGCACGAGGTGGTCTGGCCCGTTTCGCCTGAGACATCTTCGCAACTCTGGGATTCCAGATTCCGCATATCAAGTGGTCCGGCGCGTTCTAAGCACCTTGCAATTCTAAGCTCCCGAGATGCCGCGCGCGAGGTGGGTCGGTCCGTTTCGCTTGAGACATCCTAACAACTCAGAGCTCAAACAGGGAGGAGGGAGGAGGGAGGAGGAATTGATTGCACTTCTGTTGTCGAGTCGTGCTCTGTGAAGAGTCTGGGCGCCGCCTGACACATCATCGCAACACTAAGCTCCGAGCGCGAGGTGGTCCGGCCAGTTTCGCCCGAGACATCCTCGCAACTCTGAGCTCCGAGATGCCGCGCGCGAAGTGGTCCAGCCCATTGGCTCATCCCTCCTCCCGCTGCCCTCCCCCTGCCTCCCACCTGCCTCCTCCTCCTCCTCCTCCTCCTCCTCCTCCTCCTCCTCCTCCTCCTCCTCCTCCTCCTCCTCCCTCTTGCCTCCCGCCTGCTGCGCCTCTGCCTCCGCCTCCGCCGTCGCCACCTCCGTCATGCATCCGCCATGCGCGCCCCGCCGTCTGCCCTCCCCAGACATTTTTTGAGTCGCGGGTCGAGAGCGCACCTCTTCCGGTCGAAGCTAAGCGGGCCGCGCAGAGCTCGAAACTGCCCTCCCCAGACATCCGACGTCACGGTGTTTGGCTCGAGACGCGGGCCCGCGGACCTGCCGAGACCTGGGCCCGCGGGCCTCCCGTCGGCGCATGGCAAACGCTGTGGCGCACGACCTGGTACAAACCCCCATGTGCTATGGACGGCATGCTCTCCCGCACGGGGAAGACGCGCGACCGCGGTTGGAAACCGTCATGCGTTCTAGACATGCTGTTTGGGGATGCTGCTCTCCCGCTATAGTTTTTCGTACTCGAATGTGCCGATCCCAGGGGCCTGGACAGGATCGGTGTAGGTGTATCCTGCCGCCGCTCGGACGTCCATTCCCCGTGCATTGTTCGGTCTCGTGTGTGCTTCTACTGTTCCTTGGCCCCTTTGCCCTCCTTCCGCTCCTGCACGCCGCACAATCAGCTTAATTAGCAGTGCCCCCGCTTCGCTCTCTCGCTGGTGCGGATGCCCCCGCCTCGCCGCCGACGAAGAGAAAAAAAGTGCCCACTGCTCCGAGAGATGATCCAAGATGCTCCTCAGATGTTCCAGCTGTCCTGGCGCTGGCCTCGCGGAGGAAAAAGATGCACACGCCCGAGCGATGCCAAGGCACCGTGAGCCGGCGGCCCTCCCCTGGGCGAGCGAGGGCGGCGCTCGAGCCGGCACGAGGAGCCCCCGCACTCCGAGGAGGAGGAGCCGTCGCTGCCGCCACTCCTGCCGCGCTCCCCCCTGGGCGAGCGAGGCGGCGCTCGAGCTGGCACGAGGACCCCCCAGGCTCCGAGGAGGAGAAGCTGTCGATGCCGCCACTCCTGCCTCGCCTCTCAGGCCGGCACGAGGACCCCCCACGCTCCGAGGAGGAGGAGAAGCTGTCGATGCCGCCACCCCTGCCCCGCCTCCCCCTTCCTGGGCCTCCTGCGAGGGCCTCGTCGCCATCGCTGGATCCGCCTCGACGCTCTGGTCAGAACGTACCCCGGGAGAGGCCGGGGGAGTCGCGGCCTCGGCACGCTGCTGGCTGCCCCCGGCCCTGCCAGCACGTGGGGGCCTGCCGGTGGCGGCGGGGCACGGGCCGTGGCTCACCCTGGCAGCAGCCGAGCGGTGGCGGCTGCGCCGCCCGCGAGCCGCGCACATCGCCCCGTGCATCTCCGCAGCGGCCCTGACCCCCGCGGCGTGCCGCCGCGGAGGCCGTGGCCAGCGGCCAGCCGGAGACCCCCCCGCGCAGGGTGAAAAAAAAAATCTCGACGGGGGGCTTTACGCTATCTTCGGCCTCCCAGGGACCCTCCCTGGCCTCGGGGAAGGGGTCCAGACCTCTGGGGGTCGACGTTGTTTGGCGGCGCGCACAAGGGGGTGGGGGGAGGGGGGGAGGGCTTCTTAGAAGCACCCTGCTTCTTCCAAGGCGCTGGCCCTGTATCTACAGATAAGGCCCGCGCCTTCTAAGAAGCAGGGGTGCTCCTAAGAAGCCTTCCCCCCTCCCCCCACCCCTCTCTACGCGTGGCTAAGTTGCGAAAAGATCACGACGTCGGGGGTCTGGGTCCGCAGCATCTCCGCAGCGGCCTTGCCCCCGCGGCGGCCACCGCGGAGCGCCGTGGCCAACGATCATCGACGGGCACGGCACCCTGAGAGATCCTGGCGTTGCAACTTTGTTCACAATGGGCATTTTCGCCCCGCTTCGGGCCCCGGGACCCTCACAGATCGATCCGGCTCGATAGTTGATTGACGCAAAAAGATGGGTTCCAAGGTTCCGGTAGTGTTTTGCTTCGATGTTGCAGTTTTGTTCGCAGTGGGCGTCTTCGCCCCGCGGGGACCCTCACAGGTCGGTCCGGCTCGAGAAATGACGCAGAAAGATGGGGTCTGTGCGTTTTGCAAGTTTTCAAAATGTTTGGTGCGTTGTTTTTTTGTGCGTTTTGCAATTTCGGTGTTTTGTTGTGCGATTTTGCATTTTTTTTGCAACGCCAGGTCTCACGGCAGGAGGGGGCAGATCCGCACGCCTCGGCTGCCCGGGCACCCAGCACGCAGCCCGGAGTCCCGGAGCGCGCCGGCACGACGCCCGGCGCGCAGGCTGCAAGCGCGGGTCTGGCGCGACGCTGTCGCCCGAACGCGGGCCAACACGTGTACCTGGACGTTTTGAGCGTATGGTGCGCGTTGCGCTTCGGCAGGGGCGTATCAGGGCAGCTATCGGCGGCGAGCGAGGGGAGGGGGGGAACGAGAAGGAGCAGGCCATCTCTGAAGGCGGCGGGGCTTCTCAGAAGCCCCCCCGGCCTTCTGAGATGTCTCCTGTGTCCTCGGGCACGGCTTAGACAACATCTCAGAAGGGCTCGCCCCTTCTCGCTCCCCGCCCCCTGGGCTCGCCGCCGAAGGCCTGGGCTGGCACTTCCCCTCCCCGTGTTCCGAAGCCCCCTGGGGCCAACGTTCGGAGCAGGCCGAGTTCCACTCCTCTGGGAGGGGCCCGCCCCTTCTCGCTTCCCGCCCCCTGGGCTCGCCGCCCGAAGGCTGGGGCTGGCGCTTCCCCCTCCCTGCGAGGCGGGAATCTATCCATGTCCACCGCCTGGGGACCGACGTCCTGGCGCCCCGGCGGGCGGTGGACATGGACATATTTTGGCCCCCGGGGGCCCGAATATATCCATGTCCACTGCCTGTCGAGGTCTCTGCCGAAAATCGATGCTCCAGGCAGTGGCCATGCACAAATACCCCCATCGGACCCCCCCCCCCCAGAGATCCGATGTCGTGATTTTTTTAAAGCGGGGTCCCCAGAAGTCTCGACCCGTTCCCCAGGACCAATTTTTCGTCCTGAGCCGTTTTTGGACGGTCCCGAGGCCCGGCGAGGGCCCCTAGGGGCCGAAATGTGCGAAAAACCTCCATCTTGATTTTGAAAACCTCCTTCTTGATTTTGTTCAGAACGTTGGAATACCTGGGCCCGTGTCCAGAACCTCCCTGGGGCCCACGTTCGGAGCAGGCCGAGCACCCCAGCACCCCCCCACCGTCCTGGGGCCGAGCGCGGCCTCCCGTGGCATCGGCCGGGGCCCTCACCGGGGGGCCCCGCCCGGCCGCCCGGCGCACCCACCGAGGCCACGCCGAGGGCGATGCTGCGTACTCCGGATTCCACAATAAAGTGGTGGGGGTCACATTTGGGGGGGGGGTCGGATTTGAGCTGTCTTGAGGGTTCGGGGGGGGGGTCTGGGCAAAGGGCCGCTCTTTCGTGGATGGTCTGGGGGGGGCTCTAAGACTTCTCGTCTGAGAGGGTTGTGACCCCCTCCCCTTTCTTACGAAATCTGGAGTAGCAGTGATGTTGGAGACCGAGCTGTAGGAAATCACGGACCACACTTTCCTACATTTTTCCGATCTGCGGATGCATCGAACGAGAAGGGCACAGCAAAGTGTAGGAAAGCACGAGCCGTGGGTTCCCACAATACCGAAACCTGCATCGCCGTTACCTGCATCGCCGTTAGCGCGTCTACGGATCCGGATCTCCCCTGCAACGACCGACAAGCCACAGCTCGCTCGATCATGCCCACTGCCTCCCAGACAATCTTGCCAAGAAAGCCCAAGCACCTCCACACCTCATAGGGGGGCCCAAGAAACCTCAAGCAGGCAAATCCAGATTTCAAGCTAGGAAACTGCTTCATGTCCGTTTCGTCCCATCCTTGTCGCATCTGGATGGCTAGACGGCCCGAGACGGACCCAAGAGCTCCCCACTCAGATCGGGCCCAATCATTCCAAAGCGGTGAAGCCGCCCCGAGGCGCCCTCAAGCTGGCCAAGTCTACGCAGAACGACTGCAACGTGTCTCAGGGCGGGTCTCATCGGCCCTCCATTGCGCAAACAATGCTCCACCAAGCTCCTGAACTTTGGGCCGCCCTTGCTTGGGCAAGCGCCGCCGAAAACCTACCGCTTGATCCGAAACCATGAAAATTTCATCCGGACCCTTTTATCCAAGACAAATTTATCTGGACGGGTTCGTCCTGACGACTTCTTCAGGACGAGTTCATCCGAAGAAGAGTTTATATCCGAAGACGACTTCACCCACAAACGAGATCAAATCATCCGCAAACAAACTCATGTGGACGAGCTCACCCGGACAACTTCATCCAGACGAGGTCGGCCTGAAGAACGTTCTTTTGGACTCGCCGTGGAAGAACTCGTTCAAAATGAACTGGTCGTCCTCTGGCGCCGCCGCCTCCCCCCCCGCCGACGCCCCCCGCCAGCTTCGGGGCCAGGCCCGTCGAAGGCGGGCGCACCTCCGCCCGGGGCCCAAGACGGGAAACCGGGCGCCGCGGCCGAGGACCCTCCGCGAGCTGCAGCCCGCCGCTTCGAGCCGCGGCCTGCGCCGCAGCGCCCTGGTACGAGCCCCAGACGATGCCATCGCTCGGACGTCCGCTCCCCGTGCAAATCATGTTGCGCCCGTTTTTTTCCTCGCAGGGTGCTCCAATGTGCTCCCTCGATGGTTCCTGCCGCCCCAGCGATGCCAAGTCTTCTACGCTCCCCGGGCAGTCCCGGCCACCCCCGGGCCCAAAGGGGGGGGCGCAGGTGGCACCGTTTTGGGCCGTCCCCGCCTCTCTAGGCTGGACCGTGGGGCTCCGGGAGGAGGTCGGCCCCCATCGCCGCCCGGAGCGCCGCGCTCGTGGGGCCACGGACGCAGGGGCCCCACTCCTGGCCGCCCCCTCGCTGGCGGGTGCCGCGTGCCCAGGGATGGCGAGCGTGGGCGACGCCGTGATCCACCTGCGCCCGGGGAAGTCGGACCACCCCCTGGCCCGCTGCAGGGCGAGTCTGGAGGACCTCGCCCGACGTCGTCACCCCACTCCTCATGTGCGAGGGCACGAGAGGCGGACACATGCGTCGAGGCACCTCCGGACCACCCCCTGGCCCGCTGCAGGGCGGGACTGGAGGACCTCGCCCGACGTCGTCATTGCACTCCTCATGTCCGAGGGCACATACGTCGAGGCCGAGAGGAGGAGGAGGAGGAGGAGGAGGAGGAGGAGGAGGAGGAGGAGGAGGAGGAGGAGGAGGAGGAGGAGGAGAGGAGAGGAGGAGAGGAGGAGGGGAGGAGGAGGAGGAGGAGGAGGAGGAGGAGGAGGAGGAGGAGGGAGGAGGAGGATGAGGAGGGAGGAGGAGAGAGGAGGAGGAGGAGGAGGAGGAGGAGGGGAGGAGGAGGAGGAGGAGGAGGAGGAGGAGGAGGAGGAGGAGGAGGAGGAGGAGGAGGAGGAGGAGGGAGGAGGAGGAGGAGGAGGAGGGAGGAGGAGGAGGAGGAGGAGGAGGAGGAGGAGGAGGAGGAGGAGGAGGAGGAGGAGGAGGAGGAGGAGGAGGAGGAGGAGGAGGAGGAGGAGAGGAGGAGGAGGAGGACGAGAACGAGGACGAGGAGGAGAGGAGGAGGAGGATCCTCGTCGTCGACGTCGGAGGGGGCGTCGTCGTCGTCGAGGGGCGGGAGCCGTGCCGAGGGCGGGCGCGCCCGGCCGCGCCTGCAGCTCCCTCTCCTCGACCTCCTTCTCGCGCTGCCTGAGCGCGCCCTGCGGGTGCGCGTGCGCGCGGAGGCCGGCGCTGGCCGAAGCCAGGAGCCCATGATCCGCGGCTGAGGGGCCCTAGGGAGGAGGAGGAGGAGGAGGAGGAGGAGGAGGAGAGGAGGAGGAGGAGGAGGAGGAGGAGGAGGAGGAGGAGGAGGAGGATAGGACCAGGACAAAGACGAGGAGGAGGAGGAGGAGGAGGAGGAGGAAGGAAGAGGAGGAGGACGAGGAGGACGAGGAGGACTGGTGTCAACCCAAGACGCATCAACGATGTTGCAGCAAAACCCTCCAAGTGCCCTCTTCTGAAGTCCCTACAAACATTCATTTCACTGTGAAGAAGTGCCCCGTGGGAGGACAATCGTCTGGAAAACATCATCTGTACCAAACACCATTTCCGGGACTTCAGCGTTGCGAATCAATGTTACCGTTCTGACGATCCTGAATTTTGCCAGAACATCATTCCTGGGACCTCAGCATCGCGAAGGAACGTGACTGTTGCGCCCCGACGCTCCTAAATCGTGCCAAAACGCCGTTCCTAGGGCGTCAACCTCAAGGACCCTTGAACGTGTTGTAAACTTGTAAGACGAATGCGCGGCGCTAAAGCGAGAGGCACATTTCGAAAACTGCCGTTCTACATCCGTGAAGTTCTTGCAAACTTGTGAAACGAGTGTGCGCGGCGCTAAAGCGATGTCCACATTTCGGAAACTGCCCGCCTTCCATCCGTGAAACTCCTGCAAGCTTTTAAGACGAAGATGCGCGGCACTAAGAAGATAATACCAGGTTGGAAACCACACGCCCTCCATCTGTGAAGCTCCTGCGAACGTGTAAGACGAATGCGCGCGGCACTAATGCGAGAACCACACTTACAAACGGCCCGCCCTCCATCCGTGAAACTGCTGCAATGTTTAAGCTTCAGGGTCACAGGTGGAAAGGCAGTCTCATGGCGAAACGAGTCATGTAAAAGGGCAAATGATGGAGGAGTAGGCGCAGGAGCAGGAACACAGGGGCGCAACAAGCATAGCACTCAAGGTCCGCCCAACGCAAAAAGGAGCAGGACCAGGAGCAGGAGGAGGGGGAATGGGAGTGGGGGGGAGGACGGAGCGGGCGGGGAAACGATGGGAGGGGGTGGATGAGCAGAAGGAGCAGGAGGGGGAGGGGAGGTTCGGTGGGAAGAAGGGAGATATGAAGGGAGGGGAAAGGGGAGAGGGAAGGTTAGGGAGGTTCGGTGGGATGAAAGGGGAAAGGGGAGGTTCGGTGGGAGAGGACGGAATGGGTGGGGATATGAATGGAGGAATAGCAGCAGCAGCAGCAGCAGCAGCAGCAGCAGCAGCAGCAGGAGGGGGAGGAGGAGGAGGAGGAGGAGGAGGAGGAGGAGGAGGAGGAGGAGGAGGAGGAGGAGGAGGAGGAGGAGGAGGAGGAGGAGGGGAAACAAGAAGAAGGAAGAGAAGTGAGAAGAGGGGTGGAGGAGGGGAGACAAGGGGCAAAGAGGGGGAGAGGGACTGTGACAAGGAGAGACATCGAAGACACGGAGCCCGCGCCTCTTGGAACTTGCAACTTGGCCCTCAGCTAGCGGCAATACAGAACCCAACTGCTTTGTAAAGAGGCCGCTCCACAGGGAGCTCATGAAGAGGTGGAGGATGCCTGGTACACTGAGGGGGCAAGGAGGCGCTGGCAGCGAGCGTGGAAGTGGACTGGCCAGCCCAGAATTCTGAGCGCGGTTGCCAAGTTGCCAAAAGTTGCCAACACACATGCGACTGGATTTGAACGCCCAGCGAGGATGAGGAAAAGCAGCAGCAGCAGCAGGAGCAACAAAGAGGAGCAAGTGGGTGGGATCCTCCGTGGAGGGGGCCGTCAATTGTTCGAGGCTCGAGGGATCTGGCTCGCGTGCTCGCGCACACGATCGCTATCACGGTCGCCTCGAAGCGCTGCCTCGGCCAGAGACACACAGTGCGACCGGATCACGAGGATGCGCGGTAAGGACGCTGGGCCCTTGGGGGCCAACACCGAGGCCGAAGTCAGAAGCCCATGGCCAAGGGCCAAGATGGGCCGAGAGGCAAGAATTGACGGGCACTGGGCACTGCGTCGAAGAGAGGAGCCGTAACGTTCGGCGGTGCGCGCTGACTTCTTGGATCGGAGCTTGGATCGACGACACCCCGCGGGGCAGAGACCCTCAAGGACGCTCCACCGCCGCCCTCCGTTGCTTGGCCACCTCAATTTTCCAGAGGTGCACCCTTGAAGAGGCACTTGGATGTCTTGCGAAGGGTCCGCTCATCTGTCACCAGTGTCTCGGCGCAGCATGCTCTGGCCATCGCTCGGACGTCCATTCCCTGTGCTTTTTTCGGTTTCGTGCGTGGTTTTTTCGCCAAATGATCAAGGATGCTCCTCGATGGTCCTCGCCGAAAGAAAAATGCACACGTCCGAGCGATGCCAAGTGCTTATTGGGAACCGAGAGTCTCGCTGGGGCCGGGAAGGAGCACAGTTCTTTACGTCGCAGCGCGGCAAAAGGCAGCCCGCACGCGCGTCCGAGTGACGCCGGGGCGCGGAGTCACGAATTGGCCCGCGTGCAGGAGGGGAGCACACGGGCAGGGAGGTAAAAATCCACCCCGGAGAGAGCACCTGCCGGCAAGACCAGATCGGGGGTCGAGCGACCCGGGTCAATCCAGACACGGGTCAGCCAGGCATTGCAGGATCTTGCAGCGTCCTGGGGATCCTGCAAGATCCGGCGCTCTGGCTGACCCCCGTTTGCCAAGGGCTCCCAACTTCGCGCTCCGCGCTGCGCGAAGCGCGCAGTGCGAAGAGCTTCGCGCCCTCGCGCCGCCTCCCAGGGGAGAAGAGGAGGATGAGGAAGAAGCGGAGCCGAACCGCGAAGCGCGAATACCTTCGCGCCCTCGAGGAGGATGAGGAGGAATCGGAGCCGAACCGCGAAGCGCGAATGCCTTCGCGCCCTCGAGGGCGCCCTTGCTCTGCGTTGGGCCCCCGCCTCTTGAGCCCCGACCCCGGCCGCCTCCCGCGGGCCTTCCGCAGGGCGGAGGCCCGCAGCCGCTCTCCCACTCCCGCCCGCCTCCGCCGGCCGCCGCAGCAGGCGCCCTGCGCGCCGAGCGCGGGGGCCCCTCTCGGAACGCCGCGGCGAGCGCGCGTCGTGACGGCCCCGGCGTCGGCTGCTGACTGACCCCGCGCGGCTCGTTCCACCGTGCGCGCGGCCGCCCCGATGCGCCACGCGCACGGCACGTGGCGTGCTGGCACGGAGCTCAGCACGGGCTCAGCACGCACGGAGCACGCACGGAGCCATAGGATCGCCAGACCGCGGGCCAGCACGTGCCGAACCAACACGCAGCGTACGTGGGCACGTACGTTTTGAAGACGGCACGCGTTCCCCGCTTCAACACGGGCGTGCCAGGGCAATCAAGACCTTGCACGGACGGTGGCTTCTCGACCGCCAGATCGCTCCTCGTTCGCCGATTGTGGGCCACTAGCGGCGTCCGGCCACGCGCTGGGGTCGTCTCCGCATCGGCAAATTCGTGTCGTGATGAGCCCAGCGTCGGTTGTGGACCCCGTGTGCATTTTTCGTTGCCGTTTCTCTCCCATCGCGTATTCTCATACCTGCCAGCACCAGACTGGTTCGTTCCACGCTTTGTGAACCCCTGCGTGCGCGCTGGCACACCCGCACAGAGTGCGGGGGCGCTTCCGGGGACCGGGGAAAATGCACCGTCGGAGAGAGCGAAACGCTTCCAAGCTGTTTGACCCCGCGTGCATCGCTCAACCGGCAGCTTCTCCATCGCCAGATTGTTCAATATTGGCCGATACTGGGCCACTGTCGGCGCTCAACCTTGGACGCCCGCGGCGAGGTCGCCGCCGCGTCGGCACGACGCGAACCTAGCGTAGCGGGCGCTGCATCGACACCCCGCGGGCCAGAGACCCCAAATGGCGGGTTTTGGAAAGCATCAACTAAAGTACTCGACGCGGATATCCTACTCCAGTCACGACTCGCTGAAGAACTATGTCTGTGAGCATCTGGGTATGAGAGCGAGCCCGCGTAGATTACAGGCGCGACAACAACGGCGACAGCAACGACGTCAGTGCCGTCCTCCTCCGTTGGACATTTTTCATGGAGAGACGAAGGAAACCCAAGTGGAAGAGCGAGGGGAATTCCTCTTGCCGTTCCCACTGCGGCAGGCTATATGGCAGTAGCCACCTGCGTGTGCGCCTTATTTCGAGCGAGCCGCGTGAGTAGTCTGAGCGTGAGCGAGTCGGAGTGTGAACGAATTTGGGTATGATTGCGTCTGTTTGTCTGAACGCGAGCGAGTTTGAATGCGAGTGGGCCTGAGAGTGAGCGAGTCTGAGTGTAAGTGAGATTGAATGTGAGTGTGACGACTACGGACTTGAAAATGAGTGAGCCTGACTACAAGGTAGCCTGAGCATGAGCGAATACGAGGATCGGCGAGTCGAACCCCGATTGAAGATAAGTGTGAGTTGGTCTGGGTGCTCGTGAATCTGAGTTCGAGTGTGAGTATGAATCAGACTAAAGAGCGGGCCTGAATACGAGTGAATCTGAATATGGGTGAACCCTTCTGTGAAGAGTGAGTTTGGACGAGGAGAAATTAGTGATGAGTGAAGATGAAAATGAACGAGTGCGTCAGAATGGGGACAAGGAGAAGGGGCAGGAGGAGGAAGAGGAGGAGGGGAGGCGGTGAGTGACTGACGAACACACAAATCCAAAGAGAAGTCTGGGGGGGGGGCAGAAACAAGCAAACTGCCAGAGACATCCCCGCAGTCTGGGCGCGAACGGGCGAATGTCATACCCCCTTGGCGGCTCCCCCTCTGGTGCCCAGGTGCTACGCCTGCTACATCGCGGTGGGCAGCAGACCACCGAAAGAGAACACGGTCTGGTGGGCAAGAGCAAGCAAACCGCCCGAGACAACCCCGCAATCTGGGCGCGAACGGGCAAGTGTCATCCCCCTGGCGGCTCCCCCCTGGGGTGCCCAAGTGCTACGCATGTTTCACCGCGG